CATGATTATAATCATTTTCATTTCAGAGATTGAAACTCTCAATCATTTTTTTAGACTAACATCAATGACCCCCATGAGATCAGGCTTGGGTCAACCCGTGTTATGGTTTAGGCTCTTTTCAAAAGGTGCCACACGCTGGGGATCATCCCCACTCCAGACTGATAACATCAGAAAGTCTCCTTCCTGATAGATCGACCATGATAAGATTCGAACCCGTGTCTCATGGTCAGAATGTAAACATTCTAACCACTCAGCCACACACCCATATATAATTATATACATTTGGACTAATGTCATTCTTTGTTGTGATCACGTTTTAGCTGTCATGCCCTCCAGCCATCTTCAAGAAAGTTTGATGAATCTACTCAGAGATTAAATAAAGGAGTTAGTTCAAAATATCAAATTTAATTGGTTGACAGACACCTGAAGAATGTCAGAGGTCAAAAAAGCTAAAACATTGTAATAGCAACAAAAATGAGGACATTAGTCTGAATGTAAATAACATTTGATAATTACCCAATTTTGATAGCAAAAGAATTCTTTATATTCTGCTGCTGGAGTTCTTCCTTTTGATTTTGTATTTGTTGCCAAAAATCTATGGAATGTTTTTTGAATGCAAAACTCTAATATGCTCAAAATAAGTATATGGGTCATATATTATACAGCCTTAAAAGATATTCATTGAAAATACAAAAAAAGATCAAAATATTTTGAATACCAAACAAGATTTCACTTTCAGTCTGTTTTAAAAAAACAAAAACAAAAAAACACTGGATTGAATTTGTTGCTAAGATCTGATATTTATTGAATGAAATATGAATCACGTCAATGTTAATAGCTGATGTCACAGACAATGTTCAGATGTGGGTGTGAGATTGCCAGTTTAATGGAACAAAATTTACTGACAATGGTGATCTGGAGGGAAAGCTCCAAAGTTATAAATTACCTCAAACAGAATTGAACCACAAATGTGTTGTATATATATATATATATATATATATATATATATATATATAGTGTGTGAAAAAACACTTTTTTTCTTTTTTTTTTTCTTTTAACTTTAGATTTCAATATCTTGATTGGGAAAAAAAAATCCATTTCACTTTTGTTTCTCTTACACACATTTATGAGATGATGAAAATGGAAAATGTCACTTTACATATCAAGTATTTATGTACAGGAGTGAGATTTAAATAAAACCATAAATCCCCAGAAATTAGAGCCATGCTCTCCATTACAGCAGAAAATATTTTGGTATTAAAAAAAAAAAAAAAAATTTATTGCAACAGTAGCAAATTAGAACTTGGCGAATGAAAATTGTGCAGCTATTTCATGTTTATAAATTTGAAGGAAAAAAAATTAAAAAGAGGTAAAAAAAGAAAAAAAAAATTGTTTGCAGCATGAGAAAGTCAATCCCAGACAATGTGACTGAGTAATTAGACAAGGAGATTCTAAATGCCTTGAAAGTCAGAGAAGAGGAAAACAGAAGAGTTGACATCTCATTGATTCCTATTATTTTAAACACTCTCTTCATAAAAAATCCCAAACAGATTGCATTACACAAAACTCAAACTGATCAGACATGATGGGGAGGGAGCGTCTTACTGATAAGTATTAAAAAAAATAAAAAATAAACAAAAATGACCTTTTGGAAAAAAAAAAAAAATTCCGAAAGTAATTCACTCAGTGTTTGAAACATTCAAAATTAATAAGAAAAAATAAAATTTATCTATTTTGACTGAATATTCACCTCAGCTACCATATATATATATATATATATATATATATATATATAGGTTATTGATAAGCCTTTCTGATTAGTAAATCTCTCCCCCAAACAAAATCAAGCGAAATGAGTAAAGCAGACAAGTTATCCCAAAACACGTCATGTACAGTGATTTGCTTTTATACGACTTGTTAAGAGAAAGTTGAATAGGTGGGAACATTTTTAAATGAGCCGAGTAGTTTTTGAAATCAGGAATCATGAAAACCTAGAAAGTCCCTTCAGAAGAGTCTCATTTTTTTTCTTTCAATTTTCATCAGTTTCTCTCTTGTTCTCATTGTGCATTGTGAACAGCAGCAAAAATGCAGTTTTGTACATAAACTGCAACGATTCACAATCGATGAGTGCAGAGATTACAAAGTCAAAAAGGAGCAAACAATAACTGAAGAAACAGACTAGATTTGACACTCAACAGATTATCCAAAAAACAGATCCCTCTCCCCAGTGAACATGTTTCCTTATCAATATGACTTCCTGGCACAACAGATTCAAATAATTCACATGGCAAATGCTTCAAGACAAACTAAGAATCTGGCAATTAAAAAAAAAAAAAAAAAAAAACATTCCACACTGACACTAAATGCAATTAACAATTGCAAAACTTCAATAAATGCTGAAACTGACAGCCATCTATTTGATACATCTCTACACATTACCTTTCCACTGGGAACTTCATCTAAAATGCTATTTCATTCAGTTTGACACTGTGTCCTCTCAAAAAAAAAAAAATAAAAATAAAAAAAAAAATAAAAAATTATTGTTCAGTAAGTACCAGTCAACTTGACCATTACATTTAATCAATTGCTACAAATTCAAGTTAATAAATACGTACACAGTGAAAGCTTTTTTTGTTTTGTGGCCTTGGCAGCAGCAAAGCACAAAAAATTAACTTGTCTTTGCTTGCAACTAATTTTTTTTCATTATCTGCAATTTAATTGTAACTTTCAGAAAAAAGAATAAAATTTACTTTAAATTACAGAATTTAGAAAATGGAAAAAATTAGATGCCTAAATCCATTTTAAACACAACGTATCATCCCATTAAGAAAAGTTCAGTTCACAGCATTTATATTTAGTTTTAATTGCAAATGTGTAAGTAACCAGCAGACTCCATATTTTCTGATCGAAATGACTTAACCAAGTGAATATTGTGGTGTCAAGTAGAAACTGAATCTCCAACCAATAAGAGATCATTTGTAAATTAATAAAGATATACAGTGTGTGGCAAATACCTCCCACATAATAAGACATTAACTCGATGAAGACACTATTGCCCTGAATGACTCACCGTTATGTGGAAGGTATTTCTGCTGCACCCCCTATATTTTCTTTGCTCTCTCTTAATGCTTCTCTGATAATTATATGAGAAAAGAGTTTTGTAATCAAACATTATCAGTTTATAATAAGTTTCATTGAATCATTTTATTAAATGGCATAATTGTTTTTACGAGGTGACAAGTGACAAAACTCATTGCATTAATACCAAGACTATGTAATTTGTTTACGAGAGTGTTTCTTAAAGAATATGACTGAGTTTCTTAATTAATTTTTTTCAATGACCAAAGTTTAAGCTTAAGGAAAATTAAAATTTTTTTTTTTCTATTCAGTTTTGCTGCCTTAATATCCTCAAAATTAATAAAAATCTGGTTTTAGAGAGAGAAAAAAAAACTTTCTTTTAAAATACCTCGCCCTAATCTTTCTTTTCTATATCATCAAATAGGATTTCTAATCAATTATTTTTTGCTTTTCAAATTGTGAGTCCTTTTCTCACCAGACTGTTTTTTTTTTAAATTTTTTTAAACTGTCAAATGAGCTAAATATATAATTTGTTTTATCATCAAGATCAGATGTGGAGCTGCAGTTAAAGAAATTCTTTCTGGTACAAGAATTGAACTTATTTTTTCAAAACGTCACATCAATGCAACTGCAGCTATCAGAGAGAGAGAGAGAGGTTTCTTTGTGGTGGGGGGTAGAGTGGGGTTTAAAGCCTCCAACAGTAATTTTTTTTTTTTTTTTCACATTTCTGAAGACATTTTTCATTCTTTCCTTTTTATTATGCCTTTTTTGTTTATAACAAAAATAACATTGGCCTTAAATGAAATACGCAACCAAAGAGTTCAAGACTTCAGAATTTTGTAACCTTGTAAAGAGTGTGTTTATTTTGCAAATGTTTTAATCATATACAAAATGAAGCATTTTTTCTATTGTTATTTCCTGGATCTTAAGTGGTGTGGCAGAGAAGCAACAAAAATAATTGGGCTTTAAAGTTGGTTAGGACAAAAGAAGAGGGCAGGAGGAATCTTTCTATCCTTACCCTTTTACACTTAAGTCTTCCAGAAATTTTCAAGTATGATAGAAACGACAAAAATGAAAATAATATTTACATTATTTACATTCAGACAACATTTCAACCACTGCCCTCTAGCCTTCTTCAGATATTTGTGGGTTATCTAGATTGACAGATATCTGAATAAGGCAGGAGAACATATTGGCTGATAACAAAAATCAGGATATTAGTCTGAGTATAAATAATGTAAATAATGATAATTCCTCATCCCAGATATGAGGATAATAAATAAAAGAAAATAATCAGGTGAAATAAAATTGTTACATTTCAACTTTTTAGGTCTACAATTATTATTCTGTCTTTCAAATTTCCTTTGCAGAAAAGAAACCCGTCACTTTTTAAGAATATTTTGCTAAGAACAGCTTAAAACTTTTCAGTGATGAAATTTAATGCACACCAACAAATAAAAGTGAGAGAGAATCAAGCATTGCTTTTTTTTTTTAATGCAAAATTCTGTTGTTGCTTCTTTATGAAATCCAGGTGAGACTCTCCTGGGGAATATAGCAGTCGAAATAAACACAAACAATTTGCCTAAGAACTTCTATAAACAAACACTTTACAACGTTTCAAAACTCTTCACCCCTTAAGTACTAAAGGTTTTAGAAATTACTTTTCACCTCAACAAAAAATGAAAAGGGAAACCTGTTCTTGCTAACAACCATAACAAAGCCTTTCTACCTTTTACCAGAGAAGAAATCAACTTATCTTATTTGAAGATAAAGTTGAGATTTGCTAAAACTTCTTGCCCTGCCCAAGAGTAGCTAAAGCCATTGTCAAAAGTCAGCCTTTAAATTAGCAAACGTATCACTTTTGCCAATTTGGCCCAAACTTGTTGATAAACGGTTGGCAAGAGATCGGTCTATGTTGAGGCTCACAACCAGGGGTGCCAAGCAGGGTCCATTCGGCATAAGTTATCATGACTGTTGGCAGCAGCAACCAAAGTGCTAACTTTGCTCTCGGCACCTTCAAAAGTCGCCAAATCTGAAAGAAAAAAAAATAAAATTACTATAAAAAGGAATGACAAATAAGACAGCTTTCCTTTAAATAACAAAATACAGGAAATATTAAATAAAATAAATTTCCACATGCTTTAATTTTTAACTAGCAGGCTTTGCCCACTTACTATTGCTTCACAAAGTAAGATACGCTCACTACTTGAAATCTTTGAAACAAATATTTTAAATGAACATTTAATTCATAAATTGGTTGTAAACATGAAAGAAAACATTGTATGTATTCAGATAGCTAAACATTAAAATTTTAGTCATTTAAAAAAAAATGAAAGGTGAAACTGAATAACATTTAACAGGTGTTGACAGAAATAAAATACATGTATTTGCATGAAGGAAAAACAATGGTGAAAAACTGAAATCAAAATGAAGTTTTTTTTCTTAAATAATTCTTACTGTAATGCAGCAGGATAAACTACATTTGTTTTGTTTTTTTTTTTATTTCGAGCAAGTATAAATAAATTCCTTCCATTTCCAACTCTTCATCAGGCACCAAATAATTGACCATGAGAAAAGCAGGGTTGCATAAGGTAAAATCCAGTAACTTTCATTGATTGACCTTGTGATTTATTAATAGTCATTACAAAACTTACTGACTGGGAATTTCAATCGTTTAAGATCAAAAAGCATATCTGTTGGAATCAATGAAATTCTTGGAATCAGTACAGTCTCTACTTTCCCTTGACCATTTATAATAAGAGCTCCCAATAAGTGAGGTAACATTTTCTTCACAACAAAATTCTGTATGATTACATAACTTTGGAGGATCAAGATTTCTTAGAAGCATTAATGGTACTCCTTGTTTTAATACCAACTTATGGGATGGCATTCCTAGAAGGATTCAAAAAAATTCAAAACTTCAATAAGGGAGTTAACTCCTTTGTCTGGATCCACAGTTGTATCATTGGATAGGTATGTCCTTTTTTTCTTGCAGAATATTCCGATTGATGATTTGTACTGTTTCATTTCTGAGAGCCCAAATTGCTCTCACACACAACCAATCTGTATTCTGGAAGTTATCTGCTATATTGGGATATACTTTAAAAATTAATTTCTCAATGCTCTTAACCAGAGTGCCAAAACCGTCAGGAAAGCTGATTTGTCCATCTTGATCATGTGAAATTTCTCCATTTTCAATTTTTAAAAGGAAGTCACTAAATTCCTTTGCTGTCCCATCTCCATTGAGTTTCATTCTCTCATATTAGTGGTCAAAAAGTGTCTTTCAATATGATCCCACAGATTCAATAAAATTTTAACAGTTTGTTTCATATGGAAAATTATATATGAAATTTATATATAAAGTAAAAATAAATTTCTTTATAATTTTCATTTAAAAAGGTCAAAAAATTTTAATATGTCCAAAATTGCGTGTATCTTAATAAAAAAGTAAACAATAATTTGATATTGTGAAATATTGCAGTACTTATTTAAAACCTTTTAATATTTTATTTTAGTCACATTTGCTACTGAAAAACCTACAGGTATTTGTCAAAAAGAAAAAAGTAAATAAATAAATGTTCTCTTTTTATAACAGAGGTTTGCAAAAATTTGGCTAACTTAGAATATTTTTTAAACCAAAGTCGTCATTTGAATTACAGCTCTTTCAAAGTATTTTTACAGATATAATAATAGAAAACACATGCCAAAAAACAACAACAAAAAAGTTTTCATTTGAAATAAGTCTAGTGGAAATTAATATCAAGAAGAAAAAAATAGATATTAGATATTTAACTGGTAATTGTGAATGGGTTTCTAATTAAAATTAAAAGAAAAGGACAATCATTTAATAGAAGATATTTTAAGTAGTGTATGCAAATTTGTCATTAGCTTATTTGTGTTAAGACTTTTTAAAAATAAATACATTAAAAAGGAAGTATTTTTATATTTTCTCTCGGGGGGGGGGTACATTTGTGTGAAATATTGTTTGTTTTTTTGTTTTTTTTACTTGCTTTACTTCCTCAGAAAAGTCCATTTTGGTAAAAAGTAGTTTGTTGAATTTCCACACTGTAACTTCGGTAAAAAAGCAGCTAATTATGGATGCTAGATATATAAAATGATAAATGTCTACCTTAGAAAAATAACCTGGTAATTTTATTTTCTTTTTTACTTCGGATGACCATCTTATGCATTAACAGCAGCTTGCTAAATTTGTAGAAGGTGTTGAATTTGAATATTGTATGCAATAATATCATTCTAGGCATACAAAGTACGAAATTTAGGTAAATTTTTGTGTGCTGTTATGTATAAGATTTATTGTAGCTTCTAAACACGGCTCATGTCATCTGTGATGATAATTGTTACCTTAAACATTTGTTTGAAATATCATTTTTTTGTCAAAGATCCTATAATAGTCAAAGAAAAAAATCTATTTGTTTACTTTTTCTTTTTTTATCAATTCATGACAAGCAAGGCAATAATGCCACTAAGACGCAGGGGCCTACTGGAAGTGAAAGAGTATGAAGACTTTAAAAGGAACTGGAAACCCAATCCTGAACAGAAAACAAGTGATAACCCTCTACTCCTCTTCAAAAGACTGGGTGGGAGTATGAACCAGATGATAGGCGATCACATCTACTACTACACTGTGACTTGCAAAAGAAGTTTGCTACACAATCCAACATTAAATACAGCAACCAATTGAGTATCTATGGATGCACATATACACCCAGTCCCACACATTGCTCATATATGTTTATTGTGTGAACTGCAATGCATGAATGTGCATGTATGTATGCCTTCCTTACATAGAGTGGCGTTCCGACAACAATTTTTTCTCCCACTACCATAAAACACCCATATATGCAACCATAAATAAATCCAAAATTTAGAAATTAATCAGTTTGTCTGATGATCACAGAGAGCAAGAAACCCAGTGTCATAAACTCAAATCTATATATATATATATTTAGTTTATTCAAATTTAGGTAATCCGTATGGGTAGACCTGAGGAGGATGATATCCAGAGAGCTCAATGAGTGCTGAATATAACATGAATCAGCTAAGTAACAAATTTTATATTAATCACACACACACATTATATATATATATATATATAGGGAAAATTGTATGACAAAGTAGGAAAAGTTTACTTATGACGCATTTTGTCCTTCAGGACTTCACTGTGCTAAATTTATGTTGATAGGACTACACATGCACACAGCAGAAGGGTAGAGGTAATTTTAGAATTTTTTTTCGGCCAAATTTATTTAGAGTTTTTTTCTTTTCATCACTTTTCTAATTAGGTATTCCACACTGTGATATTAGAAGATCTACCAGGAATGGTGAAATGTTGTAAGAGCCAGTAGATGACCTTACAATTAAGGCATTTCTCCTTTCATCAGAGTAGCATATTTTATGCCAATGTTGTTGTCAGTCTTGTTATGGTGGGCAACCAACACATCTGATGTATTATTTTGTAAAATGTCACAAAACAAAACAATATGCTAAAACCTGAAGGAGAGGTTTACTCCATCGTCTGTAATAATTGTCACAAAAATACATAGGAGAAATCTGAAGGAATCTAAATAAAAGATTAAATGAACACAAAAGGGCCATTTTACAAAAAAGTAAACATTTTCCACTTTGTCATACAATTTCTCCAATAATGTTCTCTCTCTATCTATCTATATATATATAAAGTGCTGAAAAAACTTTTTGTCATTGAATATATATATATATATATATATATATATATATATAGAAAATTTTTATCATTGAAAAAAAAAAACAGACGACATGCAAAAAACGGATATCATCATTTGTTGAACAGGCACCCCTACCACCCCTTGTCAAAATGATTGAATTTCCCCATATCCTTAGAAACTAATATTAAGAATGTAAGTGCTTATAAGACTCAATAAATTTTAAAATAAATTATTCCAAAATTAACTTGAAAATGAAACCGTACTAGGGATTTTAATTTAATTCTATAATTAAATTTGAAGTTTTTAGTTTCTGCTTTTGAAATATGATAATTCCTGTGTAGTGATGGAACCATATTTTAAAATTAGTAAATTTATAATATTTATGCACTGTTTTTTTTTTAAAATAAAAATAATAGCAACACCGGATTATAAATCTTACTGTCCTTTCTATTTATATATATATATATATATATATATATATATAAAAGGGTCATGACTTTTGATTTTCTGTATCATAAATTGACGAACTTGAAAATGTCATCCACCACATACACAAAATTTCTAATATCATATATAAGTATAATATTACTATTACTTTCTGGGGCCTTCTAGAACTTGTTTTATCTATTTGTAAGGTTGTATGTTATGCTATAGCTATAAACTGTTAAATGCATTAAAAATACAACTATCCAATTACATCATCAGCAATTTGAAAAATAAAGCTTCTGAAATGTTTTGATTTTTTTTACCCTTATAGAGCATATGGTAAAATTGAATTTTCAGTTTGGGTGTGACCTTTTTCAAGAACTAACACAAATTAATGACTTTTTCATTACTTTTGAACAAAAGTTTGATTTACAACACAGGAACATTGTGTTACAAAGAAGTCATAACCCTAATATATATATTAAACAGTATGCTAGCAAATAAACTCATTTTCCTCACAAGATGAAGTTTCTTTATATTTTAATTTCCTTGTTTTTTTTTTTTTATAAAGGTTTTCACCGGATTCCTAATGAAAGACTATTATTTTCCTATCTTATTAATATATAGAAATATACTAAAGTTATATCAAACAGAAGCATGGTAAATTAATTAACACCTTAAAATGTATTAGTGCATCAGTTAGCACCTTCCCCCAAAAATTCAAAAATAAGTTTCAAAATGGAAATTAAGAGGAGAAACATGCAATGGCTAAACATCTGGTTCCTTTCTATTCTTTAAAATCAGGAAAAACTAAATATTTTAGTGAAATATATGTACAAAATTGACATTTTAACAGATAATATGGTACAAAGGAACTTTACACAAGGCTGGCTGTACTACAAGAATGTAATTTATTCCCTTCTTTAAGCTTCAGAAATACAAGGTCATTTTCTACTCAATTTGTATACACAAGAAAGTATGGTAAGTGAATGCTTGTTTGATTAGAAAAAATTACATCAAAAATATCTCATTTTTAGTTGCATTGTTTGACTGAATACTTACTATTGAGCCGAGTAGTAATTGCCGAAACAGCCTTATTGACCATACTAACAAGAAGATCTCCCTCCATTGCAGGTGGCATTGTACCAGGACTAGTTTCTTCTTGTTTCTTAAAAATACAAAATTTTAAGATATCTTAAATAAAAAAAAAACAAGATAAAGGAATAATAAAAACATTGTTTTAATTATCAATCAAAAATTTTATATATTGAATTTAATGGAAATCATTCTATGTTGACTGATGACCAAAACCAGTGACACAAAATGAATCAGTCCCAAGTTGTTTTTTGTTAGAAACCAAAAACATTTTAAAATTTTAAAAATGAAAGTATTGAAATTCCACATACAAATCCTCTCTTCATTCCTGATGGAGAAAAGTCCTCACTGATTTGACTATGGCATGGCCAATTTCAGGTTGGGGAGTATTTAACTCATAGAGAGTTTTGAATACAGAGTTGTCCTTCTCCAAAACGGGTTGTCTTCCCCACCCAAGAGTCTGTCCTACTATTTATCCATAGCTAGTGGGGAGAAGAGGTGGATGGATGTTGGATTTAACGGCATGTCAACTCCTATTTGGATCATTTTATGCCGAAGCCTTATTAATTTATGAATTTAAGATGGTTATTTTGTATAAAAAGTTGAAAGGCTGTTGGGTTTCATAATCTTCTGTATTTTTTGGGATTGCTTTTTCTTGTGATTGTTTCTGATTGTGTATTTTCATATTTACATCCATACATGCATATATATGTCTATAAACACATATACACATACATATACACTATTTGAAAGGGTTATATTTTATTGAGGATCTTTATTTCCTTGAGAAAATTGTATATTTTATCTGTGTCTGTATTTTGAAAATTTCTTTTAAACTTTTTCCATTGAGATATTTTTGTCTTATTTTAGTTATGATTTTGCATTCCAATAGGATATGTTTTATTGTGCTTCCACATCTACATTTTGGTGGATTTGTCTTTTTTAATATATAAGAATGGGTTAAGTATGTGTGTCCTATATGTGTTCTGGTTATGATGACTTGTTTTTTTCGAGTATTTCCAAGATTATTTCCCCATTTTAGGTTTAATTTGAAATAGTTTATTTCCGGTTTTGTTTTTCCATGAATTTTGCCATTTGTTTCTTATGTATTTATTTATTTTAGATTTTAAGTCTGTATATGGAGTTTGAAGATTTTCATCAATTGTCATTTTTAAAGATGATTTAGCAGCATTATCTGCCTTATCTCCTCCTTGGATGCCAACATGGCTAAGAATCCAGCAGAAGATGATATTTTTGCTTTTTTCCATTGAATGTAGTTTATATAGAAAGGTTTTAAGTGCACTCTAATTTATTTTTCTTAAAGTGATTTGTTTTTTTTATGATTTATCAACCCTTTGCAAGTGATTGAAAGCCAGAAAATATTTTTAGATTGCAATAACTTTTCGGAGATAATAAAGATTTACTGATACAAGTCCTACTAATTAACCCATAGGCAGTGATGGATTTACCTCTAAGCTTAGCAGGCTGAAACCTAGGGCCTCAAAATCTAGGGGACCTCCAGCCAATGTGTATAATATTTTTGACACTGTCATAGGCCTTTCTTACACATGCTGACATAATGCATTGTAGGCTCTAAACAACCCTTAAGTAATTTTAAACACCTGTCAACATCTTCAGCTTTACTCAAATTGCTTAATTTAACACTCCATTTTCCTCTACTCATGAGAATGGGGAATTTGAAGTGTGTAAATCAATATAATGAACCCAACTTGAATCTGAAAACTAGCTGTCCAACTTCCAATTCTGAGCCGTTATCCATTACACCACCTGCACATCTAAGCTTACAGCACTTGGTATAGCTAAACAGTCACCCATCTAGGTACAGACCGGGCTCAATCTTGCTTAACTTCAGTGATTGTATGAGAACCAATGCTTCAAAACCAGCCAACTTTTTTTTTAACTACAATTCAATCCAATATAAAAATATAGTCTTGAATCTCTGTTCACAAAATGATGCAAAGATTAAATAACATTTTACTAAACAACTGAATTTCCATTAAGAAAGTTTAATACAAGAAAAATTGACAAACCTTTTTATGCCAAGTGATGTATTCATCTCTTAGGATTGCTCGCAAAAAGTTTGGAACCTTGTATTGTTGATGGATTAGGCATCGTGCTGCTGCGACCATGGATGCAGTCAGAGGACCAGTTACTCCAGTTGATGTTAAAAATTCGGCAATATTGGGAGTCAATCTAAATGGTACTGGTCGGTTTGCCTCAAGTTCACCTGAAACAAATTTGGATTTGTATTGCCAGAATTTAAATTAAAATAAGATTTGAATTTAACTCAAAAACTGGTTATAAGGATTTGAAATGAAAAACTTAACAAAACTTGATGGCATTTTTAATGAATCAGTCATATAAAAAAAAAAAAAAAAAAAAACAACACACACATAACAGGCAATATTTTCCTCCTTAGCTAATTTAACTAGAGAAATACACTATTTTGTATTACTAAAGCTTAATTTCATAACTATAAAAAAAAAAAAAATTTGTAATATCTAAAAAAATTTAACAGTAATCCTATTCTACTTTTCACCTCCCAAAGTGCTTTACATAGTTTTATGAACAGCACAGACAGTATTAATCCGATAACCACAAATACATTTAAAAAAAAAATTCTGAGCTCGTAGGCTCAGCCAAAAATTGCCCGTAGACCCCGTATACATGGAGTCAGATTTGTCTACCTCCCCAAATGAGACTGCCCTTGGGCATATCCTTGTCTGGATTCCTCTCCACCCAGAGGCAGAGAGTTTGACAAGAGAGGAAAGAGGAAAAGAAAGCTTCCTCCTCGTTCTCTCTACAGATTATTTAATGCTGAACTCAAAATATCATGAACGCAATATTATGGCTTCAACTACAGATATCTTGTACATTATTTTATATTTTCAGAGTAAACATATGTTTTACAGATATATAGTTTGTAGATGGTCTACAGTAGGTGTTATATGCTTTGGTATAAACCTATTTCTTTAAGGTAGGACATTATGCTGATGGTTTCATTATTTTCCAACAGTTTTCTCATGTTAGTTTCCTTGTAGTATTTATGTCTTACAGGTGTTAAGTAAGTACATTCAGTTAAAATGTGTTTCCTCTTGAGTGCAGCTTGCCACATGCTACATGTTGGTTGATCTTCATTTTTCAGCAAGTATCAGAATGGGGAATGACAAGTTACACTGAGATTGATATATATAGATATGTGTGTGTGTATCTCCAACTATAGGTGTATCATCAGTGTTAGTACCTTTGCTGTGAAGCAACAACCCTGCTTTACTCAGGTGAATTGGGATGCAAAACTGTACTAGTACACGGCCTACATCCAACTCTCAAACATGACTACAAAAAGTTCCATGGGCACTACAATGGCTACACCCCAGTCAACAGCATCAACACACCAGCTAAACCGAGGGTAGTCGTAAGGGTTAATGAATCCAACCAGTGAAGAGGCATGGTTATTCCCAAACCACCTGTGCCAAGAATAGGGAATAGAATTTATGTATGTAGGATCTATACCTCAGAGGTCAATGGCTTTACTAGTGGGATGGGGTAACCTAACAGTTCTTGGTGCAAAAGGAATTGGCAAGCAATTGCACTTTTTTGCCTTGAATGTGACCAAGAACTACAATAGGGGAAGTGGTGACCACAGCAGCACTAACTGAATAAATTAATGAATATGTCCAATAAACTTGTTTACGTTACAAAAGAGTCAACATAATTTGCATTCAAAATTTTTGTTCAAATATTTCCTCTTTAATGTTTATAATATCAGCTGAATAGATCAACCAAAATCTGGTAACAAAGTACATAAGATCTTATTTCAAAATTGAAAAAAAAAAGAAAATGAAAAAAAAAAATATTAAACAGCCAGACTTTGTCAATTGAATGTAATAAAATCTCTTCAAATGATTTCATACTGCTTACACAAGTGCATTTAAAAAAATTTTTAAAACTTCAAGTGAAAAATCTTGTTTTTCGCATACCATATATTCTGGAGTATAGTGCAAGTTTTTATGAGAAGTTATTTTTATGCAAAAAATAGGGGGGTGCACTATACACAAGTAATTTCTTTTGAAAAGGTTAAAAATCATGCATTTTCAAGAAACTGGTTGCACTATACACAGGTAAATTTTTTCGTCTGCTCTAACTCTTCTGAAGTTAGAGCCTGGCAGCAAGAGTTAAGTACTTTCTAGAGCAGTTCAAGGAACTGACCATTTTTTTCAGCATCTTTAGCCATGGATCATTCATATATATATACATATATATATATATATATATATATAGTATGAGTTTTTAGGATCAGTTTTTTTTATGTAAAAAATATATATATATATATATATATATATATATATATATATATAGAGTTTGTACTATACACAGGTAATTTTTTTTTTCTTTGAACAGGTTAAAAATCATACTTTTTCAGTGACTGGTTGCACTATACAAAAGTGCAATTTTCTTTCTAGAAGAATTTTAAAATCATGCAAAAAAACTCAGGGGTCAATCTACACATGAAGTCTGCTAATACAAGAATATATATATATATATATATATATATATATATATACAGTAATTTATCCAAAATTTATTTACAAATTAATTTGGTTTTAACTTAAAGAGTTAAGAATGACAAAAGAATTAAGAATTTACCTGTTTGGTCATCAACATCAAACTTAAAGTAAGAGATATTGAGAAAACCGCAATCTTGATGCAAATACATCATATCAGGATTCATCCGAGTCAAATGAAGTGTAAATTCAGCAAATCCCATCAGCGCAAGCTGGATCGTAAACTAAAAAGAAACAAAATTATAATTTTTAGAATTATATTCATTAAATAAAAATATTTTAAAAAGTGTGGTACTTAACCTCACCTCACTAGCTAAAGCATATGGTTGTTTTATAAAAGTTGGGGTGTTGCAGGAAGTGACATAAATACTGATCTCGCATTAATAATTAGCTTACCAGAGTTGGCCATATTTGGAGCATTCCCATCAGAGAACAAATCAATTCAAGTGCAATAGAAGATTGTTTCTTAAAAACTTTGTCCAATATCAATAACAATAAATCAAAAAAACATGCCTGTTACTGATCAATAATTTATTGACAAAGAAAGAATAATAATTTAAGCAATATTCCTGTTTATTCTAAGACATTAAAATACAACCATATTTTTTTAATCAAATATAGATCACTCAAACTTAGTAATTATCTTTTACGTTCATGAATTATATGATCAAATATTTCATGAATGAATTTGAAACCTTGAGTTGCTCAGGCAAGAGAAATTATAATCCAACAGGACACTTAATATTTAAACAGTAATTTAATATATCAGACTCTGTACAATCCACTTATCTTGAGTGAAGTCTGTCCCAAAATTGTACAGCCATTTAATTATGAAGAACCATTTGCCTAGTCCTTCATCCCGGAGATTTGACACATTTATCCCAGTGTCCTTCCCACATCTCAAAAACTCCTCTTGAGATTAACATCAGCTGCCTTGTCATTCTTAATCTCATCTATGGCATTTCAACAGCAATTTTAGATTTAAGAAAACCCAGGAGTCACACAGAGCCAAACCTGGATTGTCTAAGTGGGGTATCAATGTAATGTTTGCTTACAAAAAATAAAAAAAAAAATAAAAAACAAAAACCTGCACAAGACATGAAGAATTGGTTCATGAATGCAAGTCGTACACAGGCTCACTGCCAAATGAAAAAACCCATGGGTGAGTGCTTGTGCATTATGGCAGGTCGATTTTGGAACTGTGATATTGCACTCAATTTGAAAGTTGGAATTTGACATAAAAAATAATGACAAATATTTTTTTCCATATCATTACTGTTTTTTGAGGAAATGAGTTTGAACCTAAACTTAAAGTTCAAAATCAGTAATCAGTGAAAAATATAAGGCTGTCAAAAAAATTCCGTACCCTTATGGAAAACAAACATGTAAATGTAAGTTAATAAAATGTTTTCCAATTGCACCATTTGCCTTGTTCTCAATAAATCAAAGAAAAATAATTCAAAATATAAAAATATTCACTTTTATAAAGGCAAAATGGAGATTAAATAGAATAATGTATTTAGGTTGTGGTCAGTGATGAAAATTCATTCCTTTTTCTTTTTTTAGGTTTTGTTATTAAAAAAAAAAAAAAAAAAAAAAAAAAAAAAAAAAAAGAAAGGAATTTCTTCATTTTAATCAACAGCAGTAAAATAAGTATATTTTGTTTATGAATCTATGAATATTGTTGGTTTCTATTTTTATTTCAAATTTTCCTTTGAAATTTTATTAAAATAGTGTAATGTCTGACTTTGAATTTTTATTAATTTAGCATAATGTCTGCACTCTTCCTCCTTACAAGAAGTTAAGGTTAATTTTAGACTTGTTTTTCTTTGCTTCATTTTGAACTACAGGGTGGTTTGAAAGTCTTGTCACTATAACCCTCTCTTCCAAACTGTAGGGGTTTGTGTCAGTCATCTGAAATAGAAAATTATATCAGATAGGGTGATTAGACTTTCGGACCACCTTGTAGTTTGTGTCCTGTTTTCAAAATTAATTGAAAAATATAAAACTTACTTCTGATAATCTTCCCCTCTCTGATAAATAATAGTGATATTTTCTTTCATATTTATCATATATGCTAGATCTGTTTTTAAACATATACTCATTTCAGATTCCCATTGAAGAAAGGGAATATTTAAAAGCTCAGAGAGAAAACAGAACCAAAAAGCAGTTTCCAACTTGGAACTATTGACAAAAATGCTGTCCAAAAATATCAAAAACATGCAATAGAAGCAGAAAGATTAGACTGGCAGATTGAAAGATAGCAACAACAGGATTAACCTCTTATAAAATGGAATTTGTGAGGTTGTTGAAGGTTTTTCAAATGATGAACTATAAGGAACATGGAATTGCCAAATTTCCCGGTACATTCACAAGGTGTGGAAAGAGCAGTTAAATTAACTACTGAAGCTTCACAAATTGCATATAGACAAAAAGCAAGGCACAAGCATATTATTACTAAATTATTGTGCCATCAAATAAGACCTCCATTTACTTCAAAGGGAAATTATACTGAACAATTTTGCTATATTATGATGTAATAAGTTATAAAGTTCAGTAGTTTTAGTGTGATTTTCAATAAACAATGCAAATTTAAAATATTTTGTCTAACCCTACAGTTTCATTTTTTGTTTTTTATTAATTATAGTCTAACAACTGGTGTAAGATCTTATTCATTTATTAGTTTTTGTTGTAATCATTTACAATTTTTAGTTTTCACTTATCAAACACAGAAAAACAATTATATATTTTGCTTGTGGTGATTCATAATTAGAATTCTGGTTTGAATACATTTTCCATTCAATGTATCTAATATGAAAAATATCAACTTTATTTGCATTTACTCTTGAAATAGTAAAATTTTGAAGTCTATTTGTAAGCAAAAACCTGCAAAAATTAGGTATTTCTGTACATTTTTTCAGATGATCTTTAAAGATCGTCTGAAAAATTTTTCAGAAATACCTAATTTTAAAATAAATACCTAAAGGTTAAAAAATTGGTAAACGCTATGTTGAATTTCTAAAAGTGAAAAATCAACCTGCTTTATTGTGCATGCAGAGTCAAGTCTCCTCTGATTAGTTGACAAATTACATCAAAGCTGTGCAACTGGTTCTGAAGATATTCAAAATATCTGGAGACAGCAGATCTCATTATTTTTTATACTGTGACACTATTTAGCTACAGTAATTGATTAACTAATTAATCATAAAAATTAAACAATAAAATACTGAGAACAGATAGATACCCCAAGATTTTATTTTTACTTTAAAAAAAAAAAATTTCTTTTCTCAAGAACCTGAGAATGTGTGTAAACAGTGGACTCCAAAAAAGGCCATATGGCAAGCTTTTGACAATTGATTAATGATGTTTATAAAAGTACTGGTTAAAGAAAGCCCAAGAACAAGATATCATTCGAAATCACAAGATTTTAGAAGTCGACCAGGCAATGAAGCCATGTGTTGATTGTAAAAAATTTTTGGCATGGGAAGATGTTCCAAAATACACGTTCAATATAGAAAGATTTTTTTTTTTTTTTTTTTACTTTCCCAAGAAACCAAGGATTGGCGTAAACAATAAATTCACAAAAAGCCATGTGGCAAGCTTTTGACAATTGATTCATGATAATTGTAAAGAAAGCATGAGATAACCAAAGAGCTTCTGAGATATCATTCAAAATTGCCAGATTTTAGAAGTTGGCCAAGCCACGGGGGCCATATGTTGTTTGTAAGTTGAAAAAGGGGAATTTCATAAACAATGTTGATTAATTTTGGAATTCAGAAATCCTGAAATAAACAGGAATGTCAAGGAGTTAATTAATGAAGCAAGCTTAGCCACACCTACACGACAGAGATGCCATTCATTGAGTGGTAGCAATGGTGATAGACAGAGATAAATTGGTAAGAAAGACAGAGAAATTACTAACGCCTACAGAAAGGACTTGGTATGAGATACCAATGTGAGAAGGAAGGACTTTAAGAGAATAGCTATCCTGTAACCTCTCCTCACAGATGAAGGGATCCCCACAAAAATGGTTTTGATTTGTTTCAATGGGTTATTTAATGCTGACAAAATTTTTATTGCTGGTAATATTTAGTTTTGTCAAAAAATCTATTTCTGGTAATATTTTTCCTTCAAAAATATATTGCTGGTAATAATATTTCCTCAAAAATGTATAGCTGGCAATATTTTTCTTTTTTCAAAAATGTATTGCTAGTAATATTTATTTTTTAAAAAACATTGTTGGTAATTTTTTTTTTTTTTCAAAAATGTATTGCTGGTAATAGTTTGTTTTTTCTTCAAAAATTTATTGCTGTAAATAATTTTTTTTTACAAAGTATTTCTGGTATTAAAACCTGTTTTTACACTTTCATAGTGTTTTTACCCCAGTTTTAGGGTTGACTATTTGCCCATAGCTGGGACCCTAACAGGTGCTACCATCCCAGATCAGAGTGGACTGGGGAACACCAGCAATGAAGAGGTGGTTCCACGCTCCTCAAGACCTCCTGATCAGAGGCCTTGCTGCTGGACATAGTTTATCGTCTTACCCAGGACGCGGATGTAGTTTATCGTCATGCCCAGGATCCCACAAAAATGGAAAGTAATTAATTTTCCTAGTTGGACAACAAAGAGGTCCCTTGTTAGAAATTGGGAATTACCAAGAACCCCAGGCTGCATCTAGCCCCACACCAGTTTTTGATCAATGTCCATATAAACGAGCACCCTTGGTTCGCCAGACAGTTCAGTTTCAGTTGAAGCCAGCACCTAAAAACTAAACCAATTGACTTAGAAAACCAGAACTTGCCAGAAGTATAAAGTGTCACTCTCCAAGAACAGGTTGGGAAAAACATATTCCTGTATAGAACAAACTGATAAAAGTTGATTTGCTTTCTTTCAACATAACTAAATCTTTTTGGTTCTATTTATTTTTTTTTTTTTTTTTACACTTGTGCAACGTCACCTTCAGTTTAGACTCATCTTGCTCTATGGCCCCGATGCCTGATTGATCTTGTCTACCTAAGATCAAATTACAACGCAGGTAGGTTAGACTTGAGATCAAATTAGTTACTTCGGTAACCAGCCATTGGAAGTGAGCTGAGAACGACAGAGCTAGTGTTGGAGTGGTTGCATCTGGTGTGAAGCCATTAGAATTGACCGACCATCCCATTTGGTACTCTGACCAAAGGATACGACTGGGTAGCGATGACTGCCAATCAACTGGGTCACATATTGGTGGCAGCGACTAAGATTCATCCCAAAACACTAATAGGAGAAGTATCACAGCTTCACACCATGACTAGGAGTTGACCCCAGGCCAACAGTATTGTGCCACAATACATGTCCTATCCAATCTAACTCATATTGGGCATCCATTTTGATTGATTGATTTGTTCTTTATGGCTTAGCAACCTTTTGTAGGTTATTTAAAGCCAAAAAATATTTTTAGAATGAAAGAATTTGTTTTAGAGATAAGAATGATTTTTATGAATACAAGTTCCATGGGTGGAAAAGAAATGGATTCAGACTTCCCCCCCAGTGTATTTGCATGTGCAAATATAACAAACCCAACTGGAATTGGAACTCAGCTCTTTGATTTCCAATTTCCAAGCTGTTATCCATTACATCACACACACATTCAAGCTAACAGCATCTGATATTCCCAAACAGTCACCTATCAAAGCACTGGCCATTTAGTGCTGTCTTTCATAAATGACATCAGCTGTTCTCTACATAGAAAACAAGGACAATATAGTCAAGTCCAGACATCTTATATGGCTAACCTCTCCAGATTAACTACGAGTAAAATTTAGATTTCATTGGGTAAGAATATTTAAGGGTGTCACTTTCTCACTGGCACTAAAATCTGTAATTGAAAAACCATTTTCAAATCTATTTTGCTTTATATTTGATGGTCTGTGACTACATAAAAATTTAGCAAATAAAACTGGCCTTTTGTTGCCTCAAAGAAAGCAGCAGACAAATGATTTTCACCTTCATTCCAAACACAAAGAATCAAAAAGGTATATTCCTGGAATCATACTTACCGTTTTACGGAATGTCCAGTAATCTGTGGCATCAGGAAAAGTATGCAACACCCATTCCTTGAGCAATCCCCTTGGCACCATATTGGCCTGAACATCTTTCAAAATGTCCCTTAGTACTTGGTGGCTAGCCTGGGAACCTCGAGCCTGTACTGTGGCTAGACGCTCATAATATCGAGCAATTGGTGCATCATGTTCAATACCTCTCTTCAAACATCTCTGGAATTATATTAACAGCAGAAAATTTAAAATTTCTATCAGATGATATCACTACACTATTGTAATTTGTACAAGGAAATTGAATCTATCAAATAATCATAGACCATAAAGAAACAAAGAATTAATTATATGATAGATAACAGAAAAAAATGTTAACCGATCATTGCTGCATCAAGCTTACTTATATTTATTAACCCTGTGTTAGTCATGAGTTACAACTGTGCAACACTGCGTGCTACACACCTTCACCCAGTCAGGAGAGTAGTGGGAGGGAGCAAAAGAAACAAGTCACCAAATAGGAATTACTTTAAAAAAATTGGGGGTAACAATATACCTCGTGACAAACGCAGGTTTAAGCAGATTTCTAGTACTAAAATGTAGCTTATTAAATAAGAAAACAAAATATCAGTCATAAGTACCTTTTTAAAAATAAATTGGATATAGTAAAGGTTTGATTTGATTTTTATGTCTTATCAACCCTTTGTGGGTTATTTAAAAACGTTTTGGGATTGTAAGAATACTACTTTATTTTAGTGAGCGAATATTCCATCAACAATTTTTGAAAATAGCAATTATTTTCTTTTTTTTAAGATACTTGACCTTTTAATTAATCTATAGATTGAATGGGTGGAGATGGGCTTTTATCTTTCCCAATGTTATTGATGATTTTGCAACAGTAATAAACCGTCTAGTAAATATTATAAACAATTGGTAGTTTACATGTCATTAAGAATGGGGACAGAAAAAATAAAAAATAAGATTGCATCTGATTATTTCTAAGAGAAAGGAAACAAAAAAGGGAAAAAAAAAAAGAGAAAGAAAAATCTCTGATGATGAAAGTTATGAAAAGCAAAAGCAGAGACATTGTCAAACCTGTTTAAAAATATCTTGTAATGATATGGCTGCAGGATTATCTTCAACTAATCTCATTTGTGGTGAAACAGACACCACTCTTGGCACTGTGAAATAAAGCAATCTTCTGCATGTCTCCTGCAAGAAAAAAAAATCTATATTTATATCTAGTCA